GACGCTCTGTTTTTCTTAGTTGATAATTTATTTTACACCATTCTATAGTAAAAGATATCATATGTTGCTCAAAAATAATTTATGACTAAATTTGTGCATTTACCCAATTATATAGCTTGTTAAAATATAATGGATATTTATGATAAAAAATGACTATTGAGATTTGATTTGGAGAATTGATTATAATGAAAATAAAATAAATGAAAATTAAAGGCCTATTTTGTTTTTATTTTCAAAAATTTTTTCTACTTTTAAAAATAAAAAAATTTAAAAAAATTATTTAGATAATTATTAATTTTTTTTACAAATAAAAATAGCAAAAATTTATTAAATTTATTTTTATTTTATTTTTCTTCTTTTTAAAAAAACTACATTTGATTATTAAAAAATATAGTTAGCTTGAATAATTTCTATCGTAAATCATCACTATTATCCTATTTTTTAATTTTAAAATTATTTTTAAATTAACACAATGAAAGAGATTTTTATTTTGTTTTGTTTTAAAAAATAACTCTAAAAACTGTATTATAAAATAATTTTTCAAAACGAGAAATAGGAACAGAAATTAAATAGACCCTTGTTCAAAACTATTAAATTTTTTTTTTTGGGTAAAAAACGGATCACCTTTATTCAACTAAATCAGAAACAACTCCAGTGGATGCAGCACCCACCATATCACTATACATCAACTGACAAAATATATACCTTCAAGAGGATTAGTAAAATAAACAAAATCAAAATCATGAACGAAATGCATAATCAAAATTTAGCTTCACCCATCCGTCTAGAGGGGGCCTCCACTTCAACCCTTCTCTTGATAACATGCTTGCCATTAGATGTGCCTGCAAGATTCATAATTTCCCATACTTAATGCATAATCACCCTTTCAGGATTAAGAGCTAAAACATACATAATCCTCCTCAAACATCACTTTATTCCTCCAATGGTGCAACCACCAACACGTGACAGCAAAAATTCTTCCCCATTCCTCCTCATTCTTCAAATTTTTAATAAACCAAGTCTCCTTTGTAACATAAATAAGAGATTTGTATTTGCATACGCGCTGATCTATTATTAGGGACAGTGAAAATATAGCATGTTTCAGCCGTTATTTAGCTAGTTATCATAAAATGAGAAATTAAATGAACTCTCTCTTTCTCTCTCTCACACTCTCATACACACGTTATTTTATTAGTTAGAGGAGGGGAATAATGTTTAAAGTTAAAACAGTCCATAAATAGTCAAAATCTAAATTAGAAAACATTTATAATTGAATTATTGTTGGTAATGGAAGAGATCACTGTCAAAGCAAATCGTTCAAGACACGTCCAAGAAACACGTGCACGGATGCTTGATCACGTTATAGGGTACAATATGCATATAGCTCATTTTCAAGTTTCATTAAATCAGTGTCATTATCATTAAACGAAAATATCTACTTACAATTACAATGCTAACTTAAAAAAAAAAAGAAGTCGAGGAACTCGCTGTCATTATCATTAAACAATAATATAACTCAATATGCATACGAAATATTTGAAAAATGACATTAACAAACCTTGTTACGGCATTAATAACAATTGAAGACCTCCTATTATTAAAATACTATGAAATAACCATAGTCTTTTGTTTCCATTGATTATTTTAAAAAAATATTTTTTAGTTACAAAAAAAACCATGATTTTTTTCTGGCATTTCAATATTTTAAATCTTTAATTATCATTAATGTATTTAATTTGCAAGGTCCATGATTGTTATTTTCCTTAAAATCTTTTCTATTTTCCATGAAAAGGTGAAATTCATGAAATTGTACATAATCTTAACTTTAGAATATTTAAATTAAAAGAATCGATGGTTTTTTTTATAGGTTATTTTGTATATAAAAAATAGATTATTAATTAATTTTTTTAATTTTATACTTTTACAATTATCTATCATGCACCCATCTAGAGTAAAAATATTGCATATCAAAGAGAAAATGTTTTGAAAGATGACACATTTAAATTAAGTAAATTTAGAGTTTTTTTTCTTTTCCAAACAACACATACATAGAACTACATCTCTTTATTTTTAGTGAGATTTTTAGAAGTGATTTATATCATATATAGCATGAAAACTCAATCAGCTCACCCATCAGTTGAAACCAGAAAACTTTTAAACAAATATCTCGACCGATTTAATAAAATACTTTATTTACAAAATGCTTGATTACAATTTGAGAACGATTTAAGTTGTTAACTTTTAAATTAGTGCTTTAGTCAGTTCAACCATCAATCCAATTTTTAATACCTTGATTTATATATAAAATGGAGAGAATATTAATCAAGAGAACTGCCATCATTGTGTTTGATGATAATGACAATGACAATATAACACTCGAATCCAACTCATATATAATAGGGGATATTCGACAATTGCATTAAATTAGAAGGAAAATGGTGTAAATGAAATTGATAAAAAAGAAAAAGAAAAAACTTGAGAAGGAAGGAAACAGAGGAGAGTGAAGAAAGGGTGAAACGATGACCAAGCCCAAGAGTGTGTCCCGGGACAGAAGCAAGCGAGCAGATAGAACCGTGCGATGAACACATGGGATTGAGAAATTGAAATTGAAACACACGTAAACACGCTAGCTCACGCAGAGAGGTGCTGCTCCGTTTTTATTTAAAAAAAAAATATTATCACTTTTTATTTATTTTTTTATATAATAAAATTACATATTTTAATAAATATTTATTATGTATTTTTTAAACCACTCTTCATAATTTACATTAACGAAAAACAATTAATATATTTATATTGATTAACATAAGATATTTTAATTCAATTTTTTTATTTTTATATATAATTATTATAGTTAATTAATTTTTTTAAATTGTGTAATACAATTTTTTTTCTTTTATATATAAAAACGAAGAGAGTATGTATCAGAGAATGATGACTATGATGTTGCCCCTGGTTGAAGGGAATTTAAGTGTTAAAAATCTTCAATTCTCCAACGCGTTTGAGCAACGTTGAATGAGTACTTGATCAACTTCAGACCTGGAGCTTCAAAAGTCAAAGCCACATGAATTTCCCATTGATACACCTACATTCCTCGTTAAGTAATCCAAGTTGAAGAGTGTTTGGAAGAAAGGAACACATTTCGGCCGTGGGGCATAATAACAATAACAAGTACTCGGAGTTATTGGCTTTCCAAGGATGATTTATTGTAAAAAGAAAAAGATAATGAACGGAGGCGAGAGACGAAACATGAAAGGGACAAGACCACCGACTGGTCCGTTCCGCCATCGTGATTCGTGAATCATCGATCTATGACTCTGTAGTCTTGTTGGCGCCTTGACGCAGCTCCTGAGTCCCTTGCTCGTTTCCATGTGATCCAAGTGCTGTACTAGCACGTATGTATGCTTACTCCTAAGGCTGCATGAAATAGAAGGACATTGGACTTCGAGTTCGATTTCTTTTATAAAAAAAATTAGGTTAGGCAATTTATAATTCTGTCTTATCCAATAATAATTTAAAATTTAACAGGGCTGAATGTAATTTATAAGATTGAAAGACTGATCCTATTAGTTCAATATTCACTTAATTTTTTTTTCTGTATGAGAGACAATAATACATTCCAATCTAATAAATTCAATTAAGATGATAAAAATACTTATAATCATAATAAATTCATAATAATTTTTAAAAAGAAGAAATAAATATTTTAGTTAAAATTATAGTTAAAGCATTTGTCAAAAATAAATTAATTATAATTATATTAAATAAATTAATAGGATTAAATGGTTTAAATGCCTAGTCTCCTATCCAATCCACCCTAAAAAAATAATCTGATCTATTCAGTTTTTTTGTTCCTAAAGAATCAATATTTATACAGACTGAACCATCTCGAGTCAAATGAGGTTAAATAAGATTGAAAAACTTTTGCACAGCACTAGTTACTCTTTCCTTCATTCCTCCTCATTATTCTTCTTTGTTTATTTCTCTTATTCACACTTCGGTTTATTTTTCGCTCTCGGTTTCATTCATTCACACAAATGGAGAGATTTGTGTGCTCTCGCCATGAGACAAAAGAAACCCCATGTGTGGATGCACCTTATTTTGAAATGTTCGAATTATATCCAGTGTGGACGTTTTATTTTTCTTATAATAGCCCAAAGAAGTTATAATGAAAGGCAAATAAAAGAAAATCCCGGTCATTTTTTAAAATAAAGGAAAAAATAGTCTTTTGAAATTGAGTTATTGCTAACAAGTTTCAAGAGAGTTGGGAGGAACTTCAAAAATTTGTGTAATTCTTTGGACATTGGAGCTCATCGGACCGCTGCTAGCAATGGTGGTTCGACAATTTGTTGGAACAATCCGCAATCAAATCGATCGAGGGGGAGGGTCAATGTGATTAAAGGTTGTTTAAGTAATTTCACATTTTTTTCACTCGTAGTTACTCCGAAGTCCCAATGCTCTTGAAGACTATGAGTGCTAACTCAATTCAAAGGAACTATTAGTACTTAGTAATAAGTTACTTGTGTGAAACTTCAGCACAACTTCTTTGGTAAAAATTATGTGAGCAACAAAATCGTCATTTGTTTGAATTTTTTTATTAGTCATAAATATCTTTTTATTAAAGATAATCTTATTCAAGATGTAGTCTAACACTAAATATGGACATATTTTTTAGCAAAAATTCAATTTTTAATTCATCAAATTGTAAAGAACTGGTCCCTCCTTCTAGATTCATTACCTGTTGTCATTCATTAGAATTTTTCCTTCCGAGTAATCTTGCTCAAAACATGTCTTCAATGGCTGAAAACTCCATCCCTTCGTTTTTGGGCTTTTTTTTAAATGTTATATATGTTGGTTTTGTAGTGGGCTCAACCCAACATATATTTGGTAGCCCAAGAGAGATTATAAAAAGGCCATTTAAATTTTTAGGCCACAATATAACTATTTAGTGGGCCTTAGAGGCCCGATAAAACTCTTGCTCATAATGAAAAACTCGTTGCCCAAAAACAAAGAAAAACTCAGCGCATTGCTTTTCCGCTCTCGAGTGCGTCACAGATTTTCAAAGGCAGCTATGGATCCGAAGAAGCCTAAAGAAGACTCGCTCTCAGGTATCGTCATGGAAGTGTCATCTTTATAGTTTTTCAGATATCTTGTGTGCGTAGTATATACCTTATTTGTGGTTGTGTCTATGTTATGTTAAGTATCTCTGTATTCATCTATTACCCTTTGATCTACTACACAGTTCATTTGCATTTGTCTTCGATTTTCTGTACCATTGTCATCATTTTCTCGGACGAATAGCAATTTCGATTACACCGATAAAAAGCCAATATTGCCTTTGTCCTCTAGAGGAAAAACCATCCATTGATCTTCATCGCTACCGCCCATCATTGTATTAATTACTATTGGGATTTGTTCTGAGATTGTCCTGTTTAGGTTACCCACTTTCTGATGGATCTTTTGCATTGCTAGAACATGAGGTGATTATTCACTCAAGTTTCATTTGTGTGTGTGTGTGTGTGTGTGTGTGTGACAATAGAATTTTGTTTGAATGGATTTCTGAGTTTTAATTCTGCATCGTGCAAGAAAAAGAAGTGAAATCCCCAAACATTCTTGAGCGAGTGAAGGAGGAGGTTGAGGCTGTGTTTCACCATGATAAAACACCTCGCCATGACAAGGAAACTCACGGGAGGAGTGATGACATTGATGAGAAAACTGATGTTGATGAAGTGAAAGCTCCTGGAGTGTTTGAACGGGTCAAGGAAGAGATCGAGGCAGTAGTTGAGACAATTCATCCTAAGAAAGAATCTGACAGCCATGACTCATCAAAGTGAGGGGTGGATTTGCCTCGGCGTTGTAAGTTATATATAACCAAGCTTGTGCGGATTTGTCTTGATGTTATTAGACATCAGGACTTTTTTTTTTTTTTTTCATTTCAATACTTTTGTTGTTCTAATTTAAAAATGGAAAGGAGATGATTATGTATTTTTTACACTATTTGAATGCTGCAAATTGATCGTTGGAAAATTGTAAATGATCATAAACTGGTAGGGTTTCTTTCGGGTAATTCTACTTGTAGCTCTATCTCTCAAGAGGTTGGAATCCCAAAATGCATGTACAGGTGAAAAGGCTAATCTAGAGCTTCACATAAATAACCTAAAAGATTCTTTGATCTAACAAGGTCTCTTTTGTTATCCTTCATGAGAGGGGGGAAAAACTTCTTTTATTGCATAGAAGTTAAGATATAAAATGTTTCATACGCCTTTGTTACGCATGCTTAAATGCAAAATATAACTGGGATCTTGTGTCTCTTGTAGATAGCTGCTTTCTAGTTTCTACTGATTCCTGTGTTTTTCTAATCAAACACTGATATATCACAGGAAAAAGAAAATTGGTAACAGACATTTCAGTGTTCATGACATTATTTAAGACTATCAGTACAAGTCAATCATAGACATTTGGAAAATGGCAGAATCAGAATCAGATCTCCTCCCTAACAAAGAGTCCAGGATTCAAGACTGCACTCATTTTGTCAAGTTTCTTTTTTAGTTTTGATCTGAACATGTGCTAAATGCCTATTGGAATTCCTTTGTTAACACACTGCCTTGCTTGGCAGTTATAGTAATGCATATGGAAATAGTTGTTTATTTCTCATGATTAATTAGCCACTTTCAAAATTTCAACAGGTTTTTGGGCTTTTGGCTTTGGAGGAGCACTCTGCTCACATTAGAAGAAACTCTATCGATCATTTTCTATTCATCATGTCACAAACAATTAATCATTTGGCTTACAGTGAATCACAGATATAGCTCAACTCCTCTGTTTAGTTCGATTTCCAGGCTGTATAATGCTTAGTTTTTAGGAGCATTCTCAGGAACCAACAATTCATGTCATGTTGGCAAGATATAAAATGTCGGAGTGACCAGCTCATAATTTGTAGTGTTAATCTGCTAATAGATTACGAGAATCCTAGCTTTTTAAGGCCCCCAGAAAGTTTAGCAGTCACTCTCAGAGTAATGTAGCTGGCGTCTGTACATTGTCAAGTCAACTAGCTTTCCTTCTGTTATGCCCTGCTGCCATCTCTTCTCCAGCAAATTATGATTTGATTGCAAAATTGTTCTGTATATTTTGAAATATAACAGATTATTTTTTTATTTTAAATTTTAAAATAAATCTTACAAATTTCTTATAAATTTTATTGTATTTCTATAGGTAATATTTTATTTTGAACATAGTATTATTTAATCCAACTATACAGTTTTTTGACTTGAGTACCTACATAAAAAGTAGATATAAGAGTTTAATTGCGGGGGGAAAATCAAAACTGGGTGTCTTTTTCCTTTCTATTGCTTTAATAAATTTTGATAAACTAGTTGGATTATACGGAAATAAAATCTCATTTGAGGAGCATGTAACCTTTTGTAATTAATTTTGATTAAATGTGAAGTTTTTTTATTTGTAAGTAAAAAATTATAATTATTTAGAGTCAACTCAAATGATAAGGTTAGAAGTTACAACAGAGTAAGATCAAAAGTTCAAATGTCATGATACAAAAAAAATTATCACTACGAGTTAAAATATACAAATTAACTAGAATAAGTATAACCCCCTGTAAGAGAGTTTGAATCTTTTAGTAGAAATATTAGGATAAAAAAAATTAAAACTACTGATAGGTTTTAATTTTTAACTGGGATTATAGGAAAGGGATTAAGTCATTCAAATTATATTGAGAAGTGGAATTTAAAGAATGAAGAAAATGTTATTTGGGAAAGGGGCGAATGATAGGCTGCATTTAGGATGTAACAAGAGAAGCGTCAGACTAAAGCCTTCTCCTCTCCAAATGCAGCTTTCCTCCATGTAATCTGCTGTTCATCTTTTTCCATTATCCAGAAATCGTAACCTATAATTTGAATTTCCCAACTCTCTTGAATATCCCTTATAGTTTCTAAAGTCAAGACATGTTTCCAAATTCAACAAAAGCTTATCAATGATATCCTCACATCAATAATGAAGTTTAAACTCATGAATTTATGCGTTATGAATGCATTTATGAACTTAGTGTGTTGTAATGTTATTACTTATGATTACTACTACAATTGCATTACTACTATTTAATAATGTGATTTTATTATTGGGTGACAAGAAATACTGCTCCATTTTCAAATATAAGAAAAATTACTCTATGTTTCTTTGTTTTCTATTATAAGTAAAACTACAAATTTCAAGAAACATTAATTACATTTTTTTAAAATTGTCTCTCATAAATTGATAGCATCATGAAATTAGAAGACAAAAAAAAAAGTAAATATTAATTACAAGAACATTTCAATCCAAACATTTTAATAATTATCATGATCAATTAATTTTTTTAAAATTATATGAGCCGGTTAAAATTTGTCAATATTAAAAAAAAACAAAGGGAGTAGTATCTTATAACAGTAGGGAATCAAAATGAAAGAGAGCAATAAATGGAGGGAGGAGATTGGGAAAGAGAGATGAGAGCTTTAGTTGTTACCAAACAGGAGGGAAGGCTCATTTATGGAGTGGTAACTAACTAACTCGTTTGTCCTTTCAAATTTATTCGCTTTTACCCAAACACTGATTCCCTCTCACCATTTCCTTTCATGGCTGTCTTCCTCATTCATGATTCCTTCTCTGCTCTCTCCCTCAACAAAGCCAATAACCAATCAAGGCTCTGTGCTCTAGGGGTCCCACATCGTCCCCCCCTCCTCTATGCTTTCCACAGATCTCTTTCCAGATTTCAAATTTGTACTTGCACTGCCTCTTCTTTACACTTCAATTTTCTGTATGTATTCATGTCTTTCAAGAAATACTTTATAATTATAAATTATGAAAAAAAAACTTAAAAAAAAATCTTGACCAAGACCTTCTTTTATACAATTATTAGAAATACTTTATAATTATAAATTATGAAAAAAAAACTTAAAAAAAAAACCTTGACCAAGACCTTCTTTTATACAATTATTTGATATCTAATACTATTTGGTCAAATTTAATATATAATACTATTAAATAAGGATAAATATAAAAAGATAATATAAGGTTAAAAATAATTAATTAATTAATTGAGAATGTAATTTAATTAAAAATATTATATATTTTTTAACAAATGAAGTACTAATTAAGTGTAGTATGTCTAATATAATTTTTTTTCATTCATGAAGTTTAAAATCTCAATTTTACCATGGCAAATCAAATCATATCCCTTCTATTAGATTCAACCTACCGTTACCAATAGATAGCTTAATGAGTAGATTAATATGCTAGTTTAACTAGTAGTGTTAGGTTCAAATTTTGGATATACAATAACATCAAAAATTTATCTTGGGAACTTTGATATCTTAAGGTCTTAGGTTTTTTTTAGCATTAACCATACTCAATATAATTTTAGAATATGAGGTAGTTAAAAAACGAAAAAAATCAGCTGCCATTGATATTATCAATGCCTTCTTACAAAATGAGTAATAGTGAGATAAAGCAGAATATCAATAATTAACCACTTATTGCCAACAGCATATAGTTGCTCGTATTTCAACTGTGTAAACAACAAATAGCTTTTCTTCAATCATCATCATCATAATAATAAACCCACTCGAAAGGCCCACTCTCAAGACTTAACTAACGTTGCTGCACAAAGAGAAACACGCACACACTAAATGAAAATGAATAATTAATTCTAACTTTCAAATTACTTATTTGGTGCCATATAAAAACTCACCAATAAAGTGTGGCAGGTGTTTCAGACCCAAAAAGATTGCTGTTATTCTGGACTCTGCAGACCACCAAATTGTCGTACTTTTTTCCCTCTTGCTTTTTAGATTTTGATTTAATAAGAGAATGAAATTGACTAATTGAGAGAGAGAGTGTGTGTGTATTTTTAAAAAAAAAAACAGAACGAAAGAGAGAGACTGACTTGTGTGTGGCTTGTATTGAAAGCTAAGCAAGCGAATGTCAGTGGAAGCAGGGGGAGAGGGAGAGGGGCTCCAATGAGGAGTCACTGTTTTCTCTTACTTTGGCGAGCTGTCAAATGATGGTGAAACTTGCTGGTGAGCTTTTTAACAGTGCCACAAGAAACCAGAAAGATTCACTTGCTTGTACATCAAAAATCTCCCTTCTCCAATCCAAAGATTGTAATAAGAGTAACGCAATCAAGTCCTTCAGTCTTTGGGAATCGTAAGCTCTTCTGCTGCTAGCCTTCATTCCTTTCTTTCCTCTTCTTATAAATTGACCCCAATAATGTCACTCTAGGTGTCATCCCCTAGCCTCTCATTGTGAGTTACCTTCACCATCGCTATCATTATCACGTATAGCTTCTTCTTCTTCTTCTTCTTCTTCATCACTTTTATCATTAGCCCATTTGAAAAGAAACAACCAAGAAACATGAAGGGAAGATCAAGATTTTGTTGTTTCATGCTAGCTCTGCAACTTCTGAGTTGGGTTTCTACAGCTAGAACAATACCTTCTGTTCCAGGTTAGTCATCACTTGAACAACGTTTTCAAGATTCACTTCTTCTCTCTTGTTACACTTGTGGATTTGTTCATGATCAAATATATCCTTTAGCAGGTCCAGAACAGGCTCCACAATCTTCTCCATATACTCTAGAACCAAAACAGGTATGGCTCTGTCAAGAGCAAGAAATCTTCAACCACTTAGGTGGAGTATTGAATTTCTTGGAGCAGAAATATCAGGCTTGTCCTTTTAATAAACCTATACTGAATATCTGTTTTCACTATGTTGCAGGAAATAATGTCAGAAGCCATGAGAGAAAAATATAACACGGGGGTTAGCAAAATTGGGTCAACCCCACCAATTTGCGAGCACAAGTGTAATGGATGCACACCATGTGAAGCCATTCAAGTGCCCAGCACCAGCAGGCAACACAACCATATGGGAATCCAATATGCAAATTATGAACCAGAGAGCTGGAAATGCAAGTGTGGCCCTTCCTTCTACAGCCCTTGAACATTTTGTTCATACACACACACACCCTCTTCTTTGGGCTTCATACTTATTGTCCCTATGGCCTTTGTACAAACCTAGAGTTTAAAGTAATCCAAACCAAGTTGAGAAACTCATCATTTGAACTGTCAGTACATTATCAGTGCCTATTCACTAACTGGTTTTAGGCTTTAGACTTGCCAGTTGCCATTTAATAATGCGCTTGTCGTTCAAACACTCAAATTCTTGAGATAGAGCTAAATGCAGATGATATGCATTAACAAATACTAACTGATTAACAAGACATGCATTGATATCGATGGATATGACAGGTCTGAAAATGATTTAAAAGAAAAATAAGGAAGAAATCTTGATCTGCGATACTTGACAAGGTTTATTCAATTTGCATTTCTGCGTTTCATACATTCTTTCTCTGGATGGGTCTGAATGTGAAAGGAAAAGACTGCTGATATCTGTCATTGTACTTTCAAGTTTCATTAACCAAATCAGAACTTCTAACAGAACTGACAAGACAAAAGACAAAAAACAGAAAGGAAATCTTTTTACGTTACCCTTAAGAGTTATGGGTAACGATCATTATTCATATTGTTGGAGATTATATTGTAGCAATAAACAACTAAAAGTTAAAAACTTATACTGATTAATATTTTGAACTGGTTATTCTCGATCATTTTATTATATTGGGTTTCGAATTTTATATACAAGTGAAAATAGTTGTCCTTAAATATTTATATAAGCTTTAAAGGTGAACAGCAAACATATATATATATATATATATATATGTATGTATATTGCATCACCATCTATATTGCAAAATCGAAGTCACTACATTGATAAGATCTGACCTATATTTTTAAATAGGCTTCAGTTAGTACATCTTTGATTAAGAAGAAAGTTTCTTGGGGGATGAGCTGAAGGTTTCGAATCTTTGCCCACTTGAACACCAATTCGTTATAGCTCGAATGAGCTTAACTTCATTGATAAGAGAGAGAAACCAGTCGATGCACCAAAAACATTCTTTTACCGCAAGTGTCAACCAAAACATTCTTAAACTAAACAAAAGCGTCCAATGTTAGCCAGAAGCTAGCTTCTGTCAAAACCAAGGCACCCCGTAAGTCCATAACCGTAAGTGAAATTTAAAAAACAAAATTAGCGGCTCTTTCAAGTAAGAAGAAAATACTAGTAATCTCTGCACGATGTAATCCCCCACCCCCGGGGGTTTTATGGGAAGAGGGGGTTACATTTATGCTGGGTGAGTTTAGCTATAATTCTGATAGAGTATCCATTATCATTGTATGGAAACTCGGACCGAACTGGCTAATTCAGCTTATGAATCAATGATCTGATTTGAGTTTCTACCTTAACCAGTCAATCACTGATTTAATGTGACCCGACTAACCTGGGATCAGCCCAGGATAACCCGGCCAAGTTGTTGGATCAACTGAGTCACTTTTTTAATTTTTATTTTTTTCTTAAGTTGTAAAAACTAAATAAAAAGTAGAAAAATCAACTTGAAAATTCAAAAAGCGAGGCAACAAAAGGTAAGGCAATTAAATTAAATTTCACTATTTGTGATTTAAATTTTAAATAGAGAGCCTTAATTGTAAGTTTGAATTTAAAATATTTAATATTCTTCATTATTTTAATCTTTCATTATTTGCTCCTATTCATTTGTTTAATTGCTGCTTAGCATTTATGATTTATGATTGTCATTATTGATGATTTTAGTATTAGTGATTATTAATTTTAGACTTTTTAATGATTGAAGGGTTGTAAATTATAATTGTAAGAATAAATATTTAAAAAGTTATATTTTATTATTATTAGACTTTTGAGTTGTTGTAATTCTATAATTATTATTATATTTGTATCTTGTATTAAAGAATAATTTTGAATTTGGTTAAATATTTTCATGATTAATGTTTTTTTATTTAGATTGTATTATTTTGATCATGATTGATTTGCCCTTTGGGTAGACCCCTGGTTCAATGCCAGTTGAACCATTAACCTGTAACCCAATAGCTTAATCGATTCAATAATCGGTCCAGTTTTTAGTACTTTATCTATTATAGTGGGATAATGAATAATTTGGGAAGTTAGAGATATATTAGAAATAAATATTATTTGAAGTATTTTCAATTTAATATTTATCTATTTTCTATTTTGTAAGGTTTGTTAAGTGGCCCTAAAATTTAGGAGTAGTGGGTACTTGTAAATGAAGTCAATAATTATATTTAGTTATTTATATTTTAGGCAATTATGTTTCGTTATCTAAGTTATGGATTAATGGATTAAGGTACAACATGTAGAAATCATGTGAAAATATAATCATTATTTTTTATATTAATGGAGATCCTCCTTTAGTTTTATTAGTTGTCTATGAGCTTAAAATTCTTACTCATCTTGGGGCTTTTATAGATATAACCCATGTTATAAAATCGAACCAAACAAACAAACTAATATTTATTATATTTTGTATTATGACCGATTTATTATTTTGTCAATGATAAATTCCTTATAAATTTTTAAATTTTTAATAATAAACCTCTTGTATATCAATGATAAACTCTTTGTATGTTAATGTGAATCAGTCATACTCCCAAATTTTTAGACATAAAAATTTTTTTTTAGCCAGTGGGCCAATTTATCCATAGAAAACTTCCTTTATCTTTATTGATTTATGAAGTTAGATTTTGATTTTATATTTTAATAAAGATTTATCTTTTGATGATAAAAAAATAAAGATTTATCTTTCTTATTTTTCTCTACAAATTTGGAAAATGGGAGAAAAATGAGAGAAAATTCAAACAAAAGTGGTGTTAAAAATTTTAGATAAGTGAGAGAGAGAATATGTGTGAATTGTAATGTGAATATAAGTAAAGGCAAGGATAGTAGTTGTAGAATCTAACCTTGAAAAGTTACTTTGAATACTTTTACACATTTTTCCTTTTATTGCTAGCATTAAATGTGAAAATTGTAAATATCTTAACCCCTCAAACTCTTTGAATTACCTTTTGAATTTAACTTGTTTATAGTCATTCACTTGGTTTAGTTGCAATTCTATGCTTCTTTGGATTAGAATGACCTGCACTCATAACTGCTCATTAGTTTCTATAAATGGCTGGACATGACTTAGGCTTTTCAAAATCCTATTGTCTGGCATCAAAGTCATTCCATCCAAAGATGGTTCCCACCCATCTCACACTCCTTCACAAACCTACATTTTCACCATCCATCCCATCCTATTATCATCCATCTTCTAGAAGGCATTTTCTCAAGTATGATGGTGGAGATCCCCATGGATCTTAGAGGTTGAAAATTGTTTTTAATATTATCACACCTTTAAAGACTACAAAGTTGATAGAATTGAGGTAAGATGCACGTGATTTCTTTACTTCCATTAACATGAAACATACAATTCTCTATGATAAGTTCTTGTGCAGTATAGGCAAACTGATTCAGTCCATGAGTACAGGCAAGAATTTGCAAAATGCGTCACTCAAGTATCCCACTGACCAGGGCACTGTCTTCTCGGCTGCTTGAAGGAGAAGTTAAGAACTTTTGCCCGCATACAGAAGCCTAACACTGTAAGGCTGCAAATCTTGCCCCAGAACATGAAAGCAAGTTAAGTGTGAATGGGCCCGAGCCCAATTATTTCCAGACCGAAAACAGGTCCAATTTTGCGTCTGCCCCTCTCGCACGTGACCAGGAAAAAAAAAAACAAAAAACACTGCGACAGCGTTTTCATCGATGGCGCGCAAAGTACAAACCATCTGCGTCGTCTTCCTCCGTGCTCAGGCCGGCGACTTCAAGGCTGTCCAGAAACTCCATCATGAGGAGGACAGAGAAGGGCTTGTGTTTTTGCTGTGGGGACACGTTCTGGCCTGGGCATCACTGCAAAAGTTCTTTTTCGTTGGTGGAAATCACAGAGAAGGTGAAGAAATTGCTCCGCCTCTTGAAGATGCTGAAATTGAAGATCTTGAACCTGAAAGTGCTGAAATTTCTGTGTGTAGTAACAACATATCTGCAATGAAGCTTTAAGGGAGCTTCTTTGAATGCCAGGTCCTGCCGTTGATGGATAGTAGTCTCCCTGCAACTTCATCCCTCAAGTTTCCATGCAGGCTGCAGCTTCTTGTTCGACCCTATTATTTACTTATTACTCCTATCTCAACCCCCAGATACCCTTGCATTGAGGACCATAGCAAATTTTCAAGGGGAGCATTGACAGAGTACTAAACTACTAATTATGGTGGAGAAATGAATAATTTGAAAGGTTAGTGATATATTAAGAATAAATATTATTTGAAGTTATTTTTAATTTAATATTTAAATTATTTTCTGTTTTGTAAGGTTCGTTGAATGGTATTTAAATTTAAGAATAGTGAATATTTGTAGGTGGCTATAGATCTTTCATTAGTTTTCCTTTTTAGCCGTTAGATTAACATTTAAACGGTTTAAATTTGATTTTCTACAAAATTATTATTAAAATATTAAATTATAAAAATATAAATAATAAAATTCAAACAACTAAAATTTAATAACAACAATTTAAAAATGCAGTGAAAATAAGGAGATCTAATGTAAATTATTTAAAATCTTGATTTAATAGTTATAAATTAAGAAGAGAAGGGAAAGAAGAGAAGAAAATCCTCTCCCCTTGCAGATTAAGTCAATAATTATAATTTTTTTATTTATATTTTAGGTAGTAATCTTCCAATATCAGAGCTATGAATTAATGGGACTGTTTCAGGAATAATTAGTCATTTTTCTATCTATAAATACTAAAACTCAACATGTAAAAATCATCTAGAAATTTGATTATTATTTTGTTATATTAATGAAGATTCTCCTTTAATTTTATTAGTTGTATGAATTTAAAATTCTTGCTCATCTTTTATTAAAAATTTTCCTTTACCTTTATTAATTTATGAAATTAAATTTCGATTTCATATTTTAATAAATTTTTTTTTTTATTTCTCTCTACCCATTTTTGTCCTATCACATTCATATAACACAAGTCTCAATTTTAAACACTCAATGTCTGTGTTGGTAATTACGTGTTGTTATAACTAAGTTGTTGATAATTATATATGGTCTTCAACTATGTTGGGATATGGGATTGCGGAAGGTCAAAGTATTTACTAATCGTGCAAATGCAATAAACCTCCTCCTTAATTTCAACCAAAAATATCACCCGTTTGTGAATATTATTAATCAAGCACAATCCTTTTTAATAGAGAATGTGATGTTTCTGTATATTTAGAGAAGCCAATTATTATGTTCATTTTTTTGCCAAATTTGCTTTAGATAAAATAGGTATGTTTCAATCTTTTGATCAACCCTCACTTTTTTATTTGAAGGTGATGGATGATGACAAAGAGATTTCTTCTTGAGTTTCTTTCTTGTAAGCCTTTTAGCTCTTGACTTCAAATGCAACCAAAAAAAAAAAAAAACATGCATTAAGTAAAAGCCTTACAAAAGTATATAAATCTGGTCAATAATTATAAGCCTGCTATCAGAGTTCACATAAAATTATCATTTATAAATCAAACCCTGCCACTGAATTGGTGGCGGCCATCACTAACAAATGACAACTGCAAAATCAATCGATAGTCAATTGCGGACCAAGAGACAGGATATTAACGGTCAGATACAAACCTCACAAGCATGAAGCGAAAGATATTTAATTTCTGCATTATGCTGTTTTAAACATATCTTTTCGATCAGCAAAGCTTGTCTTGTAATCTTGTAAAACATCCCAGAAAAAATGAGATTGAGAATAGAAAAGAAAGCTACAGAAATTGTTAAAGCATGTCTTCATCGTATGTTTTTCACATTACAATCTCCATAAATGAAAGTTCATTAATGAAAATTCTTAGAAGACAAATTCACAGTACTTGAAGAAATAACATCCCTTACCCTCTTCTGTTTTTTCTATCGTAAAATCAGTTCTTGGCCTTGACAGAGTTGTTCTCCTTAATTCTTGCTCGATTGTCCAGCTTAACGAAGCGTTTTAGATCTGCATAATGGAGCGTTTCAATATTCTTCCTTCTCAATTCACTTAGCGCGGGGCGTTTATCAAGCTGGTGCCACAACCAATCAGGGTATTCAGAATCAGGCAGTATCTTTGGATCCGCTCCGTCCTTGAGGATGTTGGCACCAACTACAGTAGTTGACTTGACTTCTTTGCTAAGAGTGGACGCTTTCGGTGCATCAGATGCGGCGCCCCCTTTAGATCCTTTCTTTGCCTTACCTGTAGCAAATGTTCGGTGGCAAGCAACTCCAACAGCCTCCTTGCTAACAAGGATGCCACTTACAAACCTGGCATGGTTCATTGCCATGACTCTATCCATCTCTGCAACATTATTTATCTAATTAAAAATTCCAAAGGAAGAATGATGCACGGATAAAATTGGTTAAACACTAATACAACTCAGAACAAATGAACCAAACTTTGAATTCATCTCATCTGCCAAAAGTAACTTTTCTATGACTACACTTGCTCAGAATCTAAAGTCCTACTTTCTTACAAGATGGAATGATGGATAGGGGCAAAACTCAGGTAGTTTTGTGCTAAATTAAAACTGTCAGCTATGCGCCACAGTCCATATCAGGGAATGAACAATTGAACATGCAAGTTACAATGAAACCGTGCAATATCATGACTTCATAATAGCTATTTCCTAATGAAAATAAACTGATCCAAGGCCCATCCCACTCTGTCCTCACATTACTGTAGCAGGCAGAATATCCCACCTGTATTAAAAATAATGTCATATGCTAACGTTCTCTGAATCCAACAATTAATTCTTTAGCGAAGTCTGTTAAACAACATCTGATATTCACTAACAAGAAAAACACTATATGCATTCATCATCAGAGGCGGACCTATATTTCAGGGGCGGGTGTACGCAACTCGAGCCAGGTCATTAACAATGTCACAAATACCTTGAGAATTTTCTAAATTGATGATAATATAAAGAGATTAATAGACAGGATATCGATACACAGCAAATCCAACATTGCAAAACAACACAATCCAAAGCATACAAGTCGCTAGTAATCAAAATGAAGAGGTCAGAAGTATAATAGCCAATTACACACCATTCAAGAAAAAATAACAATAATAAAAAAGAAATTAAAGTCAACCTGTAAATATTCCCAATTTCAAAAGCGTCAATATTGAAATGGTTACACAAACAGATTCAAGGCCAAAGCAAAGTGAAAAATTTAAAACAAAGCAAGAACAAGCGTGCGCAGGGAACAGATGATGCGGGCAACAAATTCAAATCTAGATTCAAAGCCAGATTGAACAAATCAATTTCACCGGATTTTGGGAAAGCCCTAAGTTCGAACCTTCTTCACTACTTGCTCGAGAACGCGCAGCGATGACAACGGTGGACGGCGTAGTGTGAAATGCTTGTTCGTCGACGAAGAGAAACGGTGCGCTTCTCACTAGCCACTAGTAGTACGAGATTGTGTGCGTTGTCGGGTTATATCTGGGAGAATTACAGAATTAGGAAGGAGTCGAAGATAATTTCTCAAATAACAAGATTAATTAACCCCAAATTTTTTATTTATAAAATTCCTGGGGCTGGGATAAATATTTGCTCAATAATTTTTTTATTATTCATATATAACTTTTTATTAAAAGTAATTTTATTGGAGACACTGATCATGCCAATATTATTAAAATTGAATTGAATATTGAACAGATTATTAATAATTGATGGTGAAGTTGGATTAGGATCAAGGTCAAATCATCTGTAATTAAATTAATATATTTTAAATATATATTTAAAAATTATAAAAAAAGTGATAAAGTAAAAAAAATGTATAACTAATAAAATAATAATCCTACAATATTTAACATTCAATTACCATTCACATTTTTTAAATTAAATTCTTTAAAATTATATTAAAAATAATAAACATCTCCTTCAACTTTTATAACATTTGATAAATTTAAAAAAAAGATTACAAAATATTCACACCTTGACAACATCTATATACATATTCAAAAAAAAAAATAATATTAATATATAAATAATAAATGGATAAATTATAAATCAAATAAACCAATATTACTAGCTTGCAGATTGGCATCGAAAGCAAGAGCAGGAGCTTCCATATCCATAAAAACTACTAAGCTTAAGCAAAGTCAGCACCCAAACTCACAAAACCATTAAATAATAGATTTTATTTATGAATTATGAAGAATCAAAATAAGCATTTTGTACAAGCTCCGACCTGTTAATGAAGATTGACGATGGCAGATGACTAAGACTAGATGCAGGCTGGAAGTGTAGCAGTCACTTACAGAGGAGGGGATGAAATCATGAGCAGTCGAGCATGAAGAGGCCAAGAAACTCGAGCAGCCGTCAAACGTGAAGTTAAGAGCTGTCGAGCACGAAGAGGCTGAAGAGATTCATGAGTAGTCAACTGTTGAGCATGAAGAGGCCAAAAGATTCACGAACAATTGGAGGACTTTAGGATCCGTTTTCTTCACTCTGCCACTTCATCAATCACGGCCGAAGAGATCGAGTGCGAGATTGAGAAACAGAGGACAGGAAGATGCTGACATGCCCTAGGGCTCTGCCGTTTTGGTTCTGCCTCAACGTTAGAGTTTAGGTTCGGTGTGTTTGATTTTAAATTTGCTAAAACTTTATTTATTTGATAAAAATTAATTTAATAAAAATTAATTGTTATAATAAAATTTATATTTAAATATATTTTTTTAAAAATTAATTTAATATATTGAAAGTTATTTAATTTATAATAGTAAGATGTACTTTTGAATATATAATTATCAAAAAAATATATTAATTTATAATAATTTATAATTTTTATTATACAAATATAATATATTTAAAATATTTAAAAAATATGATAAAGATTTTAAATATTATAAAATTTAATTTATAATGCTAAAAATTTAATATCTAGTTATTTGTAACTTTTTTAATTTATAATTTTAGAAAATGTGATAATTATTTGTAATTTTTATTATGCATTAATGCTAAAAGTTAACATTATTAATTATTCAATTTATAATGCTAAAAATTTGAAACTTAATTATTATTATTAAAATAATAATTATATTTTTAATGAATTAACTATTTTTTAAATAAAAGAATAAGAAATTAAACTTGTAATAATATGGTCAAATAATATTCTAATTTTAAATTCACTTTTTAAAAATTTTAAATAGTTACATTTTAGAAATTCACTTTCAGCCACTGTTTAAATGTGCTTTTAGAATATGTTTTTTTATAAAATATTTTATCCAAACAGCATCTTAAAAGTAAAATTTTATTTTTTAAATGTAAAACGTGAGCAAACCAAACAGCCCTTAGGCAATCGGGCATTTCCTATTTAGGATCTGTGTGACCATTTGTGTTTGAGTCTGTCAGCACAACAACAACAACAACAACAACAAAAATAGGCAAAACGACATTGTTTTGCAATTTTGAGGAGCAGAAAAAATATAAGGAAACTACTCGAACCAGTGATTCACCCGATTCTGTCCAGTTCACCTCTAATTCAAGTAGTACGAGGGCGGTTCCTCCTCCCAAGTTTTGTATCATTTTCGGACCGATTTTCAATCAAACCAAATGAACTAGTCAGTCCAGTCTAATTCTAATAACCATGGTCCATACTTCTTAAGTTACTCAAGTATCTTTTTTCCGGTAGGCCAACTAAAGTTATAACAAAATTAATTATAATTATTTTATAAAAATGTTGAGGTGACAAGTATCATTTAAAAAAAAATCATAAAAACATACTTGAAAAGTAAAACTAAACAATTTGTGTGCTTATTATATTAGACATTTTGTAGCAAAATGTATTATTTATTTTTTTCTTATTTTGTGTAAACTGGTTTGGGTTGAGTTACCATTGATCCCTGTGGGCTATTTTCAAGGTGAAAATTAGACCAATATACTATTCTAGAGCAGCAATTTTGCATTTGCCGAATTGCCCTCCTTCTCTTACACGTAACAATTCCCCAATTCGATCACCATAACGGATCTCCTGTGACACGGAACCGTAACTCTTCTGCTCCCAGAAATGGCGTCCCATGTAAGTGTACATTTATCTCTCCACAAAATCCTATTCAAGTTCTGATCATTTTCATATGTTTCAAGCCATATTTCATATCATGATCTGCACATTAATCAATACGAGCAGATTGTGAGATGCGTCTGCTATTTCATGCCAAGTTCCATTAAACAAAGTAATGAAAATTTCAAGTTTTTTATATTAGAATCTATCCTTTAATACAATGGCGCGTTCAGTTTGTCCCCATGAGTTAGGAATTCCTCGTAATTTTGATTGTGTTATGGTTTTTTCCAGTCTTAATCACCTAACACCAGGTTGGATCTTGACTTGATTAAGAAGTTGAATTAAGATATCTGTGAATGGGGTTTAATTTGAAATGTTTGAGTCTTGGCATTTCAGAATTCAGACCCTATAAAGACATTATCACATGACAAGTATTTTTATTCAGTGTTCGATTATAAAGAATAGGCTCTTCAACTGACCGATTAACAAATTGTATCTGGTTTTCATCAAAATGCGCAAACTGGAAGCATGGGACTAGGTAATAAGAGAATTAGACAAAGAGAGAGAGATCCATTCTTCTCTTTAATGCAAACTAAAGTCTTCTAGTTAGAGCTAGGTTTCTGACATTAATATGAAATAATGTCAGGTTCTTCTGTGTATCATCTTGGATCTAATGAACAATCCATTTGTCGCTTCTGCTGATGAGCAGACATTGTGACTTCATCGGATGTTCCCTTCATGCTTACCATTTTTTATTATTTTACATGAACTGGTGTATATTTTCATCTATAGGGAACGGGTCCAATCATCAAGAACATTCTTCTTCTAGACGCAGAAGGAAAGCGTGTAGCAGTCAAGTACTATACAGATGACTGGCCAACCAACAGCTCCAAGATAGCATTTGAGAAGTATGTGTTTAATAAGACTATAAAGACAAATGCTCGAGCAGAAGGTATGCCACACAAGAGTCTTTCACATTTTAGCAGGCACACATTATAACTAGTCATGATTTCTGTACACATAACGCCTGAAGGTCTTCAATGCTGTTAGAGAAATTGATAGAACTTGGCTTTTCAGCTTAAATTATTGGACGAAATGATCTTTAACAAAACCTTCCTTTGTAATTCGCATTTACTTAGCGTCAACCTAAGGTTTATGATTATTCACCAATCCTGATTCCCACGTGGGCAACGTACCAAAGTAGTGCTGTTATCTGTTACAATTGTCAGGGTCGAAAGAATCAAGTTCTTTTCATTAAAGATGATTCCGGCAACATTTTGACATTTACCTGTTGAAAGAATTTATGGATCTGGATATAGGTTGGTCTTGTTTATTATGGTTTTTCATGCTGGTGTATAGTTTACAATTAATGTCTGCAGCTGAGAACTTTACTTGAGAACAACATAATTATCTACAAATTTGTACAAGATCTGCATTTCTTTGTCACTGGAGGTGATGATGAAAATGAGCTCATTTTAGCTTCAGTTCTTCAGGGTTTCTCTGACGCAATCGCCCTGCTATTAAGGTTTTTTTTTTTTTTCCTTGCCATATTTTGCTATCTAGTCTTGATGGTGCTGCCATTTTCCATTGTCTCATGCTTCTTCTTTTTGTATTCCCCTCTGTCACTTCCGCAGGAACAACGTTGACAAAAGAGAGGCCCTAGAGAACTTGGATCTTGTTCTTTTATGTCTTGATGAGATTGTTGATGGGGGGTATGCATTTGTTTCTTTGCTTCAATATTTCTTCTTCACAATTCTTTTTTGTTTCATCTTAATTCTGAAGAAAGTCTGATATTTTTTCCCCTCTAATTTAAGGATGATACTTGAAACAAGCGGATCACTTATTGCTGAAAAAGTAACTTCCCATAGCTTGGATGCTGATGCACCTCTGTCTGATCAGGTACCCCAAAATCCTATCAGTTTAAGCTTCATCAAATACTCTCTCGTTAATCAATAAAATAATGATCCATAAAGAATGTTTCAAAAGAGTCAATTGTATGATACTGACATATAAAAATGAAGTTCATGTCCAATGTTTTATTATTGGAGAACTTAATTAAAAAAAAATAGAATAACTTCATGTTAGTGTTGTCCGCTGATTTTACATGACAATGATGCAAATTTGCCTCGTAAACCAGAAGTCGCTAGATTACTTCATTATGGTAATATAAAAATGTTAGGATGACGGAAGACAAGTTTCTTGGATCTGAGACGTAACTGTGAATTTTTGGCATTGCAGACGTTAACTCAAGCTTGGGCCACAGCTAGAGAGCATTTGACCAGAACCCTTCTGAAATGATGTTTTTACTTGCTCCCATGAGAAAGTTTCGTACCTTTGGACCATCAATTTTACTTCCTCGCCTTTTAGTGACAGCTTTCGTTACCCGACTATGACTGTGTGAGCTTCATACCTCTTCCTTCCTTTCTTTCTTTTCTTTTTTTTTTTTTTGGGCCAAGCATTTGCAAGAAACTTTGCATGCAAAATAACCAATTAAGGTGTAACTCCCTATTGGAACTTAAGTTTAGTATTAGCATGTTTCTATGTTTCCTGGTAATTAGGTTAATCTGTTATCTTTTACGCCACAAACTGATGTAAAAAAAATTTCTCACAAACTGTTGCAATATCTAACTCATGTCCTATTTAATTCGGCGACACCTATGATATTCTTATTATTATTAGTCAATTGTAGCCGGCGTGTTTTCATTACCATCTTTTTTTAAATCTAAAGATTATAAAGAAATTCCATATACAAAATTATTATTTTTTTAATTCTATTCTATTCTGTAGACCAAACAAACATTTGCTAGTCAATCCAATTTTACTAATTAATATAAAATGAAAATGAGAAATCTCTCCTCTACAAATTATATGACAAGCTTCCAGAAAACCATTTTGTCGTTCATCAAACACAACAAACAAACAAAAACTTTTCTTACATTTTCGTTTTCTTAAAATAACTTTTCCAAATAGAAAATGCAGCTTATACTGAGGTACAGTTTATATTAATGGATTTGGATTTTAGATTTGAAATCTTACATTTAAAATTTATGTATTTAAAATCATTGGTTTGGATGATGATTTAAAAAATTTCACATTTGAATTTGAAATATGGATTGAAGCTAATTTCATCTGATTTATATATTATCTAAATAACTTTTAATTTAGCAAACTAATTTTTAAAAAATATATCCTGATATAAATAAACTTTTGACAAATGAATTTTTACTAAATTGAAAATCAAACACACATAATCCATTATGCAACATTCATTATTATTATTTGTTGTGGGTAAAATTATGCAATGCTTTAGGGTCTGAAAAGATAGACAACAAGGAAAGATATTATATTAGGATTTTATTTTTTTATATGACTAATTAAGTAAGTTAGATTTGAACACTGTCAGATTTAATTGGAAGAAACTCCTATAAAATAATTAGGGTTTTAAATTACAACAAAGTGAACAAGCTACACGATTCAGCTACAGCCCCCCAAAAAATTGCTGGATCCGACCAACCAGCAAACCAGGAACAGATATATGGTTTATGAATGGGCCGTACAGATAAATTCAACATTTAGTTTGGCCCAACTCGTTCCCAGAGATGACCAACATGCAGAAAGGCTTGTGTGAGCGACGTGCCTTGATCATGGTCCATTATTAATCTATTTTTCACTTTTTTCTATATATTAAAAGTTGTTCACTCGTCACTGTTTTTTTAATTGTGCATGAGGTTTTTTCTTGTTGAAGAAAAATTCTATTTAAATATAGTTAATATTAAATACAAGCACATCTTTCAATAGATATTTAAATCTTGTGATTTATCATTTTGATGGATTAGCTCTTTTTTTAAAATTCATTCTATTTATAAGTCATGAATAATACTTTTGATTTATGTCTTGGAATGCGAGGATCCTTGTTTTTTTTTTTTTTCCCCAGGCCATCCATGTCTGGTTTCTTAAAATATAATTTTGTTGTGTAGGTCATAAGGTTGACATATTAATTTTAGGTTTTTTTTTTAATAACAATGGAACAGTTGTGAGGAAAATGATGCAACGGCCAGTGGTTGACCAGCTCAGAAGAGAACTTTATTGGTAAAGAAGTGGAGCCAGAGAGGATTAGTTGGTGTTCGTGTTGATTTAGGTTTGAATTTGGGAGGTCCATGTGCCTTAATCGCAAATAAAAGACAATTAACAACTTAGAAAAATTTGTGTCTGAAATTGAAAACTGAAAAATGCCATCATTTTCTACATCGTCTTCTTCTCTTTTTTCTTTACATGACGTTCAAGATTCGCCTCATTTCTTAAATTTCTTCTAATTTCCTCTTCTTTCCCCACTTGATTGCATCATTCTATCCTTCCATTCTCATTCTTACGCGCTTTCAACGTCTTGTTTTCCTCTTAAGGATGAGTAGTGTTTTTATTCAGTCATGATTTTGAAATTTGAAATGCTGCCTTTATCCTATTTATAAATTAGTCCCAAAATGTTTTATTATAATTAAAAAAAAATTTAAACTTTATTAACTTTGTCCTTAGATAAATAGGATAGGGTGAAATATTTATTTATTTCTTGTAAAAAGCTGTGGATAAAGTGTGTACTAAAATTCTAAGACTTTAATCATTTGCTTAAAAAGACCAGAAACTCTTAAATTGATAGTAAATGTTTAAAAAAGAAATCATTTAAATTGGCACAATGGATAGTTGACACTTGATACGTGGCACTGATGCCAAACAATGCCAACGTTCAATATTTGGAATTTGAAATTAGCCGGCGGACCACGGGGCCTGCACTTTTGCTTTCAAATCTCTTTCAATTAATTATTGATTACCTAATGTAAAACAACACATTTTTAAAATTATTATTCCATAGCAGAGACTGCATATATGGTTGATGGCATGTCATTGCCCATTTTCTCAATAATCTGCTCCTTCCATCCTTATATTATAAAATATTTTTAATTAAATATTTATATATCAATAAAAATTTATTATTTAATTGAAGTCATATAAAATTATAATAAATTTTTAATTTTACTCATAATGGCATAATTAATATCATGATGGTGGTATATACAAAAAACAAATTAATGTCTCTTTTATTTTTCAAGACGAGCAAACTAATTACTTAAAAATATTAAGGCCCTCGTTATATTCAAAGACAAAATAAATTTAAGAAAAACACTTAGAGATGGAGGGAGCATTAATATTCTTATCCCTACACACGTTTTCCTTTGCAAATCGCAACATAAAAAGTTGTATTCGGTATCTTAGTTCTTAAGGAGCATTATAAGCCTAAAAGTATACCAAAGTTATATATATATTAATCCAATCTTATCACTTTATGCCTTCTGATAATAAAAAGATTCTTAACAGTAAACATTGCTCGAGATCCCTGAGGCCAATGAAATGCTTTATTTCAATAGAAGATCACAAATAAAGACGATGCAAGGCTGACAATTACACTTTAGGGTTACAAAATGATGGTATTAAATTTAAGGACCACGGTCCTTCTGTGCAATTATAAATTAGCTTTTGACTAAAATAAAATACCCGTCTAATTAATGTATTAGTGACATGAAGATTACAAAAAAAAAAAAAAATTGGCACATGTTTACTAAATCACAGCTCTGCAAGTTAAAATTTTTCAACTAGGGATGGCCCGGTCCGCTATGTGTGTGTTATTGTAAATTTTTATCAATGTTAATTGATTTTACGAGATTTTCTTTGTAGATCATACCTGATAAATTACTTTATGGTTATTATGAAAACCTTGAAGTCAACATATTATTTTATTTAAAATTTTAATTTGATTTCCTAACTTTATGTAAGAACAATGTATATTGTTGAGTTTTTAAAATTTTGAAAATATTACTTTTTATTATGATATTATTTTTTCAAGGGAATATTTTAGATGGACATATATTTAATATATAAAATTTATATGTCATTTTATTTTTAATTTTATTTGCTTTTACTACAATATGAAAATCTGATCTTTTTATGCTAGGTTAGCCCGGTCACGGTAAATAAGGATTAGGTACTAGATTGGTAGCTAACCCAGTTTTTAAGTACTCCTAAATTATATTATTAAAAATAAATTTCACTCTTTTGGTCTTGACTTGTAATCATCACCCTTATCAAGTCCTCTTTTATAATTTATCCTCATTTCCAATGGTCTCACTTTAGAGGGGAAGAGTTTCTTCTTCCTTTATTACCGAAGAGGATAACACTTTTTTATAATTTAAGGGGGAAAAAAAGTTGATTATTCTTTATTCCTGTACAAGCTAAGTAATTTCAAACTAAGCACATGCAATCCTTTAAAAGCTACCTTCAATAAGACCAAGTGTGAAAGGAACATAGACCCCTCTCTTTTGAAATAATTAATTTTTTTCCCTGAAAATTGAATCCTCCTCTCTCTCTCTCTCTCTCTCTCTCTCTCTCTCTCTCTCTCTCTCTCTAATCCAAACCTAGAGATAAGGATTATCACGTAAGACGTGTTTGGATGTCTTTTTTTAATAATGACGTGGAACCCATTATCCACTTAACACGTTAACAAGGTTTTTAAGGATCTTCCTCGATCCTTTTATGCCGCTCTGCCCCTCACGAACATGCCTGTCGTGGCCAAAACAAAATCAATTGCTACTTAAACTCAATTCCCTTCAGATAATATCCAAGGTCTAACATTTATTGTGAGTTAATTGAAAAGAAAGTTATATTGAGTCCAAAAATTAATATTTGAAAAATAAATTGCTTTTTGATCCATTTTTATTCTATTCCCAGCACAGCAACAAAATTTTGACTAATTATTTTATTACTTGATAAGAAATATAGATAAAAGGAATGGTGAAAATAATAATAAGACATATTAATATATAAACCCATTTATAACACTCTTCTTTAAAATATATGAATGTATAAAGTACCAAATTCAATTAAATCTCACCTAAAAAGACTAAATCGTTGTAATCAAGAAAAGATAAATATAAAAACAAGGAGGATTAATGAAAGGTAGATCACAAAAGTGATAATTAATAACAGTTAGGCACAACAAATTTTTTTTTTTCGAAAATGAGTTGTAAACATCAATCTAAACATGGGTAATTCAAAAATTTTTATTAAAAATAAAATATTTAAATTTTAAACACTTTTTTTTGACCACAATAAATAGAATCTTCTATAAATTTTGTTGGGTTCAAAAATGAGACATTGGTTAGTTTATATAATTGTTATTCCAACTATACTTCTATATTTCATTCATTATTATTTTTGAAATATGATATTTTGAAATTTCAGTTATTATCATTGAAACACTTATATAAAGTACTTAATGAAGATATAATTAAAAGATGTATTATTTTTTCAGGAAGTTAAAATCTTACCTAATTTTTTTAGAACTGTAAAATGATTACTAATACTCTCTATCGTAGTCCTGAGGGAATAACTCTCAATTTGCGGTCAAGATTTTAATTTATAATTATTTAAATTAATATTTAAAATAATTTATTTAATTTTTTCAAAGAACATAAGCATGGTTAATTTATTTTTCAGGATTTAAATATCATCACGGCATAAAAATAAATACTAAATGCAAGTGACCAAATGAGCTCATGACATTAAAGTAGAAATGACAGTCTGAGCACGACGGAAGGCGATTTTGCTT